CCCCCCCGTGCCCGCCCGCCACATTTATTCCGCGAAATATATATATATATATATTTTCTTTCTCTTTACGCCGCCGCGTGCCACGATTTCGATATTCACGCGACGAACGCCGACATATTTCACGCGGGAATACGTCGGCGAGACGTTTCGCACAGACGTTTCTTTCTCTTCGTTCCGGTCCTTCCATTCCCCTCCCACCTCCACGAAAGTACAAACCGTGAAACACGGGCTTTGATATCCATTCCTCCGTTGACTTTTAATCTTTCATCCTTCTTCTTTCTCTTCTTTTCTCTGTTGTTTCATCGCTGTCCTTGGCTGACCTTAGGTTAACTGTCGAGCAATCAATTTTTGCACTCACTTGTCGCATTAATTCTGCATCGACAGACCGTGACAAGCGAGAGAACGTTTTTCCTTACATTTTCCATAGGAGCAGCCTGTTGGCTAATTATCATTGCTGGCCCTGCCAGTACTATGTAGTAAAATGGCGGACTTGCCTACACCTCCTAAGAGTCATATGTAATTCTGTAACTGCGTACTTTTTTCATTTATTGCGGGATTTAGTGCGAGAGAAAAATTTGCGACGACTGTGGCCTGTCTGGCACGCCTCGAAGCAGACGACGATGTTAAATCTGACGATGACGTCTTAAACTCTCTCTGGTGGAGTCTGATCCAAGGTTAAGCGCGGAGGAATTATCAACAAACCTTGGTCAATTGTTACTTACGCGAAATCAAGGCAAGGTACGTAGACCAAGGGATATATAACGTTCGACAAATATCTTCGACGAACAGTTTGCACTTTATTGGACATTCGTCAGATTGCGTACAGATCCATTTCTACGCAGGATCCTCTGCGACCAGAATCCAAGGCGTTTCAAGCCAGACACCAAAAACCAATCCCTGAGAGAGCTTCTTTTGCCGTGTTTGGTGGGATCGGGTAGTGGCATAGTTCACTTTGAGTCACTGAAACAGTTACTGCAGACTTGTGTTGCCAACAGTTGCCAAATTGTCAGAGAGAAAGGGCAGAAAAAGCGTAATACTCCAACAAATGGGAAACAATTGATTGCGTATGGGTACCCCTCAATAGTTTTGACGGTAACCTGTCAAATAATCGACGATGAAGAATTGCCCGCCTGTATATATTTCTCTAATTAAATTTAATGAAAAAGGTGAACCTACATTACACAATATAAGCACAATATAGATCAAAAAAATATTAACGAAGGTATAAAATCAATTATCCCTTTATTAATATAAATTAACCATTTATTAGTTGAGAATATAAATCAAATTAGTTAAGAAATAAATCCATGGACTAATTGGACCATATAACATCTTCCATAAAATCTCAATTTTATTACTAATAATAATAATTAATTTTCTATCGAGACTGTTTCGACACTGTCTCTATTCTTTGACAATCAGAGATGAACAATCAGATCGTAGTGGCTACCTTAGCAGAACAACGCCTTACGACTCTGCAGACGCAAAGTACACATCAAAGTGTATATTTATTTCTCTAATATAAAGTACACGTGCGTTACACCAGGTCGGAATGGATGGAGTAAGTTCATTCACAGCGGGCAACGTAACGTTACGATGAAGAATTTGACGAGAGGCGAGAGAGAAAGAATGCGCGGAAAAACGGGGCGATTAGAATCGCGCGTATCCTACGATCTGGTACGATCTTCTTGCAAGAAGCAAGAAAGCAGCGAGCCAAAGCAACGTTATGGCGGACTCGTTTCCTAGCCGGAGCCTTGGAATTAATTGTAAGATACTACGTGTACCTACGTATTACATTACGTACCGGTGAATTCACATTTTCTTGCTCCTTTTGTTCGCGCACTGACACGCACGCCGAGCGTAGAAAGTTGCAAGTTGGTTCATTGTCCCCCCGCTTCCGGCCGTGTGAAACACGCGCGAAACACTTTTTTAGTGACAAACCTTCGAGGGACTCGGAAAAATAACCGCGTAATAACGCTAAGCAAATACTCTTCAAGTCGGTCAGCTCGTCCAGCGAGTCCATCTCGTGAAAACGTTGCTACGAAATTTGGGTAGAAAATTCTACGCAAACGATGATCGTGACACTAGCGTCATCGATGTGTTACTTACCTGTTCATGCGTATTCGTTGCTTCAAGAGTCTAGGAAAAAATAGAAGAGAAGATTTTCGCGCGCCACTCTGTCCTTCTTGTTCTTTTTTCCTCGATTCCAGTTGGACAGTTACCTGGCTCACTCGTTATTTCACGCGTCTAGGAGAAAGAAATCCTTACGGATCTATTCACGCTTAATTCGAAAAGCGAAAGACACGATCGGAAGGCGTGCGTCGCGTTCCCGTTTTCGTGGGAAATGCGTTCCGATCGCGTTCGAGGCGAAGAATTAACGACGCCACTCTGCCTGTTCCTCTCGTTCGTTTTTTCCTTCCTCGGATCTCGATTCCAATTGAAAATATCCGCGTTGGAACGTCGTTCACGCTGGCATCGCGCGACTGTTATTTTTTTATCTTTCCTTTCTTTTTTCTTTTTTTTTTTTTTTTTTTTTTTTTTTTGGTCGAGTGGGTTCCCGGTGCCCGGTGATTATTGGCGAAACGTGCAGGTGCGTGCACGCGCGGAAAACCACGAGTACGCGGATAGGGGGAGGTGGGAAAGAGAGAGAAAGGGTTGGAGGTACACGTGCACGCGCGTTTCCATCGATATTGTTCGCGCATCGTCTCGCCACGCTTTTCACTCGTGCATCGTGCATTTTTTCTTTTCCTTTTTTTTTTTTTTCTTCTTCGCATTTCACGCGAGCGGATCGCTCGTAATTTCACCGGGCGGTGGAGCTACAAGATGGTTCATCGCACGCCAGAACGTGAGAAATACTTACACTTGCAAGTGTATACTACACTCTACTTTTTCTCCCAGCTATACCACCGCTCCTGCTCTCGTCGTCCGTCTTTGCATACGCCACGTACTCTCTCTCTCTTTCTCTCTCTCTCTCTGTATCTGCCTACTAAACTCTGCTCCGTGCACGCGAAAAAAAAAAAAAAGAAAAGAAAAGCATACTGCCGCTGCACTTCCCGGCCCCTATTAAACAGGTAGTTGC